AAGACAAAGTCTTGTAACTAATGTCAACTAAATTTTGAAGCAATTACTCTCACCTCTCATTTTCTTAATTTAGGGGAAAAAATGCATCCTCTCTTTTTTGGATATTCCCTCTCATCCAAGCAATATTAATTAATTAGATTAGAGAGTAATTTAATTAAGGCCATGTTTTGGTTGTTCATCAATGGTTGGATTATTTATTTGATTCCCAAGAAAGAATTTGTTTTGAGTATTGGCAAAGACCCAAATTACATGCCAATTAATGCCAAGAGTCCATGAAGCAAGCATCAAAGACCCCCTTTTTTTTTTAAATTGAATTCTATATTTTTCATTTTGCTTAAAAGTTACTCAATTGAATATGTTAGCTGAGGAATTTGTGAATGCAAAAAGAATTTAGGGCACTACTTCATAGATTATCATTTTAAAATGAGGATGTAGAATATATTTTTCTCCACTGCTTCGATTTCGGCCCATACAACATGTGTTTGTGTAGGTTATGCTTACGAGTTGTAATTAATAAGTCTCTCAATTTTAAAAAATATTTGTTATGTTTCTAAATTCAGTAAACTATCAATATCGTATCTAATAGATTTTTAAACTTTAATACAGTGTCCAATAAATCTCTAAAATTTAAAAAATGTCCCATAAAACATGTATTTATTATATACTAAAAGTTCGTAGAACTATTAATCACTTTTTAAAATTAAAAAATCTATTAAATGTAATATTAATTTTTTTTAGTTCAACAATTACAATAATAGAAATCGAATCATCGACATTTAAAATGATAATAGATATTCGAACTATGTTCAAATTGGCTCGGCATTCAAAGCTTATAAACTTAGTAAATACTTGTAAAAGTTCATGTATTTTTGAAATACTAAATTTGTAATTTATCTTGGATTAATTCTGATATTCGATTTGTATTTGCGCAAATAATAACTAAATACGGGACCGTCATTTGTTTATAGAAAAACCAATAAGATAATTACACGTGTTAATTACTTTTTACAGACAAATTTCTCCAAGATGCTCGGTTTCACATGTCTCTATATTTCTAGTTAAACGTAAACCCACTAACATTCTCTGATGCCACGCATCGGATCGGGTACGGATTGCCTGCGCCGATTTCATGCGATCACGCGTTGAGCTGTAAAAGATTGATCTCCTCCAAGTGAATTCCAGCCGTTTGATTTAATTCCCATTTGCTGGTTTATTTTAAGTAAAAAAAAATGTAACAAATTTTAATTTCGTTAGAATTGAACCCTAAAGTTTGAGTTACAGTGGTGAAATTTAATAGCACTTTAAAATTTAAAAAGTGAAAATTACACCTCTTTTATTTTAATTCAACAAAGATGAAGATTTAAATCTTTGTCTTGATAGTTATAAAATTACACCTAAATTAAATTATATTATGTTTGACAGTATTTTTGACATGATAAAAATATTTGTTAGGATTAAAATCACTTTTCACTCAATATTATCATGTTCGAGAGAAAAATAGAAAGGAATTATAATGGGTGGTAAATGGAGTTTTTTTTTCTGCAACTACATCACAAAGAGTAGGATTTTGAAAGTTCTTAGGCTCGATTTACAATTATTTTGAGAGTTTTTTTAGTACAACATGTGGAGTAGAAAATTGAACTCACAATCTCTTATTTGGAGGTATATGGCAATTCCTACCGAGTTAAGCTCGTTTTGGCTGAGAGGTGCTTGTGTTATATGTGCTAAATTGTTATATATAACTACCCCGATACAAAAGTGCTTTACAAAAAATGTAACAGTTGTATAGTGTCTTATGTGAATGTTTTAAACCAAATTGCTTTACTTACAAGTAATCATATATGTCCTCAAAAGTTTGAGGTTCGAAAAATAGTACATAAATTTAAAGGACAAAAAAGATAAAAAGTGTTTTTAACGATATGTTTTAAGTAAAAGTTATAGGGAAAATAATTTCAAAATAATTTTCTATTTCTTTATAACCGTTTTTAAAAAATTGCCATTGGATTCTTATAAAATGTTAGGATTATCTGACCCACTAAAGCCAGTATTAGCAAGTACATTGTTTCTTTTAAGAAAAATAATTTTGGTTGATTTAAATTTAATATATTTTTGTCATTTTTCATGACACCTATAATTCAAGTTAAAACTATTTCCATTATTGCAGGCAATGAAGTCCTTCAATAGTACATCCTCCAATTAAATAACATAATAATGGTGTAAGACATTTTAATTTATGAACGTTTTATTATATAGTCCTTCAAGTTATAAATTTTTTACTTTTAACTCTTAAATATTGTATAAAAGAATACTATAATTCTTGTTTCTTTTCTACAACGACACATTAATATGGATTTACTATAATTTTCGTTGACTTTCACTAATTTGAACTACCAAGAGATCATAAATTCGAAAGAGATTGTTAATTTTCATTAATAAATAATAAAATTAAAATATATATTTGAATTCAACACCTAATCTAGCTACCGTATGCGGCTAGAAATACAGCCACACCTTTCTTTTTACTTTTTTTTGAATAACAAATAAATGGAGAACAACATGCACATATCAAACAACCAAATAGGTATTTAAAAATTTAAAGAATCAAAATAAAATAAATATAACAACCAACCACCAAATCAAAATTTAAAACCTAATAATAAAAGCCCAATATGATTTGTCAAATTCTTAAAGCCGATGCCAAATTTCGCAAGGGCTAAATTCGTTTATTTTTTAAATAGAGATTAAATTGAAAAGAAATATCCCTCCTTAAACACGTCTACCTGTTTAATTAAACACTATTTTCATCCCTATACTTTTCTGGTATAGGTTCGTTTTGATCTTCGTACTTTTTTTTTTGTTCATTTTAATTTTCATACTTTTAAAATATATGTTTTTGTTCTATACTTAAAAAGTGATAAATGTAGTCCTTATTTACAAAAKTCCATATAGAATAAAAACCGTTTGGTACAAATTTATGACTACAATTATGATCGAGAAATAATTGAGATAAAAATAAAATTAAAATCCTACTTTGGTCTCTATATTTTTAGCTTTGGCCATTTTAGTTTATGTGGTTTCAAAATATTCATTTTGATTGTGTGCACTCTAAAAATATCTGTTTTGGTTCTTGTACTCTTGAGGTGTGACATTTTGGTCCCTTAATTTTATTTTTAAAATTATCTTTCTATTATTTTCACAATACTACAACACTCGATAATCTTTTTTTTCTACAACATATGGGCTAGGATTTCGAACTCACGATCTCTTAGTTGAAAATATTTGTTAATTACCGCTGAGTTGTGCTCGTTTTGATACGTAGAATTTATCTTACAATTTTGTAAATATGGATTAAAATTGTTATTTTTTAAAAGTAGAGGATAAGAAAATAGTATTTTAAAAGTACAAAGATCAAAATAACTCAAACATAAAACCGTTAAAAATAATATAAAAATAAAAAAAATAAAGGAACAAAGGAATAAAAAATTTCACTTTTTAACCTCGGATATATCATATATATACAAGTAAAAGTAAAAGAAGCATAATAATTAAGTAATAAAAAATGAAAGAGGGGTAGCTGTGAGCCAATAAAATCCCTTGATTCACGACCTGCCGCAACCCCGTGATTAGCGAGGGAGGGGGAGTATTACGTGTCAACCAAACAATCCCCAATTATTATGTGGTTACTTTAATTAATTATTATTATTACCATTATTTTCCCTTGTCCCATTTTTCATTCCTTAATCTCAGCAAAATAACCATTTTTCCGTAACCCCTTTCGTACATTTTCCATCCCATCTCCCTTCTCTTGTCTCAAATTAATTAACCTTTTACTTTCTTTAAATATTATTTTGATTTCGCCATCAAAAGAAAAAATTTATTATTTTGATTTCATTTCCAATCCTATCTTTTTAAAATGTATATTTTCTTCGATGTATTTTTTATTTTATTTATTTATTTTAATTTTATATTTATCTTGAAATTTTGTAAATAATGATTAAATTGTCACTTTTTAAAAGTACAACGATTAAAATAGATATTTTGAAAATATAATGATTAAAATGAATCAAAGTTAAAAATACGATAACCAAAATAAACGTTTTGAAAGTATATAAATTAAAATGGAGGAAAAGTTTAAAATAGAAGCACTAAAGTAATATTTATTATAGTTAGATCATTTTTTCATTTTTGTTTTTATATCTTATAATTCAGGTTAGTTGTGACACACCTGAGCAACATAGTGAACTTAAACTTAGTGTCCATCTCCTAGAAGGTATGGTTATACCATCTTAAATATTTAAATAAGTATATTTCATACGAAGATCACAAAATATAAGAACGCATTGTCTAAAGTGAACCACAAAATTAACATTTGTTTACGTCCTTAATCAGGAGCGGATTCAGTGTGGGCCAGGGGAGCTCGAGCCCCCTCAACTTAGAATATATTTATATTTGTTAACTCTCAGTTCAAAATTTTATGTTGGTTTAGGGCCGAAACACCTGCCCAGCCCCCTTGCTGCCTAGGGTGGAGCCTTCGGAGAGCCAGTTTTATCTTTTTATTTTCAATTTTTCTTTTCTAATCTCTCAATCCCCTGTCTGCCGCGCCATTTTTTTTTTTTTTAATTTCTCAATCTCCTTGAACCTTGGGTTTAAGGGCATCCGTCACTGTCCTTAATATTGGATAAAAATGAAACAAACTCACACAGCAAAGTTTGATTGGTATCAAAATTTAAAGTGTGATTCAATCTAAAGATTGAGACGATTGGTTTCTAAAATTAGCAATAATTTTGAATTAAGTTTTTGTCAAGAAATAGATGATTGCCTTTTAACCATCCAGTATACAGATTAAAGACAAAATTTATAAGCTAAAATAAAATACTTTTGATAGACAAAAGAAAGTAGGAGTTAAAATACGAAAGAAACCCAATATAAATATTAATTTTTAAATTGACTTATACCTAAATTAAGAGAAAAAGAAGAGTTGGGTTCTGATTTCGTGACGGATGAGGGAACGATGGTCAAACGGTCAATGTTTAGGAGCCGTTGGACGTAACGGGAGAGAGGAAATTTCGCACGTGAGCGCCGACGTTCGCACGTGCGCGGCAGCGTAGAAACCATGTTGGAGTGGTACGGTGGTTAAAAGTTAAACCGGAGGGTAAAATTGGAAATATACAGTGGTGGTGGGTTAGGTTATATTCTAATGTGAATGAAGATTAAAAGGTGACCTAACCGAGTTAACGGTGTTGACGTCGGTTGGATTGGTTTATTTATTTATTTATAATTTTGGAGAAAGTCTATAAAAAAAAGCCATTTCGTTGGAAGCTTACTCTGACTCCATTACTGCCTTCTTCTTCTTCTTCTTCTTCTTCTTCTTCTCCTTTTTCTTCGTCTTCTTCGCTCCCATTTCTGAAAATTTGTGTCTGCATTTGGACGCAAACGGAATTGGAGAGGAAGGAGTAGCAATGGCGGCGTCTGGAAAATGGATTCGATTGGTTCTTCTCGTGGTGTTCATGTTGTTCGTCGGGACAATTGCCAGAGTTCCCAAAGAAATTTCTCAAACTCAGTATGAATCTCTCTCTCTTTGTCGCTCTAGAAATTGTTCGGTTTTTAATTTGTTATCTTATCTTTGTCCTCCGCCGGTGATTTCCCCTCCTTCTCTGTTATTTGCTCTGTATCCGGGGGATCCCGATGAGTTTTCGTTTGTTCTTCCTGATTCGGTGTGGATTTAAGCTACATTATGTGATTAGACGCTCGTTTTTTGAACAATTTTAGAGTCCTCTTGTTTGTAATGTTGAATGTTCTTCTAATCGAATCCTCCTGGGATCTAATTTATTGTTCATCGCCATTTAATGCCGTATTGTCCAGAGTTTTAATTAATTCTCTCTTTCCGCTTCTCATTTACGACTCCTGTCCTTTGAGCCGCGGAATTTCTGTTTCCTTCGAGGAAATGGCTCTCGTTCTTTGAACCTGAATTTTGATTGTTACTGTCTTGTACATTCCGACCTACCAAACATTTCAGTACAGAGAGAATGCGAGGAAGATGGACGGAGATCAGTTGAATAACCTCTTGTCTTCCTTCAAACTTTAATTCCTCCTTTTCTTAACTTGTGGTTTCAATAAATTTTGCAGGAATGGGGCAACTGAGATGTTGCAGAGCTCGAGCAACTCATCAATGGCAGTGAGGTGAATACCTTTTTTCTTTATAATATAATGAATAAACTCAGTTGAAAGAATAAATGCGGCAGATTCAGTACCTAACCAAAACCTTCCGACGTAATTACGTACCCTCCCACCTCCCTCTATTCTTAACTGATCTCAGCCGTCTGTTTTCAGGCCTTCGTTCTTTATTTATTTACAATATTGGGCTTTTATCTCGTACTATTTTCCCCCAACTCTTGTGTCAATCTCGATCGTTTAGATCTAGATCCCTGGATCTGAACCGTTTATTTCGTTACCCGTTATTTCTTTGGATTCCTCCCCTGCAGTAACAAATTTGGGCGTCCTCCCATATTTGCAACTCTTCCCTTTTATATTAAAAATAAATAAATAAATAAAAAGAAAACTTTTCCAGCAGTTCTCCTTTGCTCGCTCTATACCATATTCTGTCTTAGAAAAGGCCATTTTAACGGTTTTTCCAACCATGGCCTTTCGTGGGGTGGCTGCTCTAATAAACGTTTCATGTATATTTAAATTTTATATGCGTCTGCTAATTGTTGATATAAATATAGTTTTAAAGTTTTATTTAATACAGAATTATTATTATTGGAAGAGATGGCCACAATATGACTATTTTACACCGTTGGATTTATGAGAGAGGAACTATAAAATTTTACTACAATATGACAGCCTAAATCAATAATTTTTTCAAATAGTTTCTCCGGCGTTGAACAGTGTAGGTAATAAAAAAGAGTAAAAGAAAAACGCGTTAGCCCACCCTCTCTTTTGCACTCGCTTTGTGCATCTGCCACGTTTTACTTTATGATTTGCTGGCTACTGGAGTTTCCCAAATTGCATGTGCTGCTGTCTTGGTCACAAATGCATTATTGTCCCTGCCAAGAATCGATATCGTGCCTATCAACTGTCGGTTCTAAATTTTACCATTTCATTTTTTTCTTTTGGGGGTCTTATTTTTTATTGGATCTGTGATGGTAATTTCAGGTTGGACGAGGTTGAGGCTCTCGATAACAAGCATGCCGTGGACAACCCAGAAGAGATCGCTGCTATGGTTGACATGTGGGTCCTCTTTTCATCATCATATAGATAATAAAAATGTGAAATAATACCATGTAAAGTCTGAATTTGAATAATCTTTAGGGAAAATCTCTGACTGCAGATTATGCTCAACGGCCTCGATCAATTTTTCAAGGAAAATTAAGTAAAACTGTCCTTCTGACCAAATTTTTGCAAACCCACCTTAAAAAATTGGTAGCTTTTCTGTCGTCGGCAGATTTTCTATAATTGAATCTTGATTCTAGAGTTGGAATCACCCAATTTTATCCGTCTCTCTTTAACGACTCCTTAGATTTGCAGCAACTAGGCGTCCGTCGACAGCTTTGTCTATTTTACTTTGTTTTTACCATTTGATCTTATTTCGGAACAGGACACTTCATAGGATCTTGTTATCCAGTCCTTGTGGGTCTGTAAAATGAGGAAAATTAAATTTAGCCTATTTGGATGAGTTTATTGCAAGTCGCAACTGCCATTAACGTGGCCCATCAGGCGACAAGGACCCGAGATAAAAGGCCACCAAACTTTCACCCATCAAACTGAAGAGTCTTCCACAAATTGACAAATGGAATTGCTTTTTTCCTATGGTTCCCATCATTTCCCCTCTTGTTTGGTTTTTGTTTTAGTTATATAAGAAATCACCGACGCTGCAACCAAGATTTTCTGCTGTTATTTCTGTCTATAGTTGTTTAATTCTGTAAAAGTTTTATAAAGTGGAAGGTTAACACAGTTAAACAATATATACTTGAACAGGAGTATCCGCAATGCCACTGCTAGGAGGGAGCTCGGTTTCTTCTCATGTGGAACTGGCAATCCCATTGATGACTGCTGGCGTTGCGACCCCAATTGGCAACAGAACCGCAAACGTCTGGCAGATTGTGGCATTGGCTTCGGCCGGAATGCCATCGGTGGTCGGGACGGCCGATTCTACGTCGTCACTGATTCCGGCGACGACAACCCGGTCAACCCAATGCCCGGCACCTTGCGCCATGCGGTCATCCAGGATGAACCTCTCTGGATTGTGTTCAAAAGGGACATGGTGATACAGCTGAAACAGGAGCTGATCATGAATAGTTTCAAGACAATTGATGCCCGTGGGGCCAATGTTCACATTGCCAATGGCGCTTGCATAACAATCCAGTTTGTGACCAATGTCATTGTTCATGGTCTGAACATCCATGACTGCAAGCCCACTGGAAACGCCATGGTAAGAAGCTCGCCCAATCATGTTGGGTGGAGAACAATGGCTGATGGGGATGCCATTTCCATTTTTGGGTCGAGTCATATTTGGATCGATCACAATTCACTTTCTAACTGTGCTGATGGACTCGTTGATGCTGTGATGGGATCCACTGCAATTACCATCACCAGCAATTACTTCACCCACCACAATGAGGTATATCTTCACTCCATTCCTCTACTCAAGTTCGTAGTTTTACCATTCTCAGAGGAGAAATTATTGGGGGGTGTTACGAAACAACCTTTACCGAATGGTTATTAAGAAGTGTATAGGTTCTTAATTTGCATCTAACGATTATTAGAGGGTAGTTACATTTTGACCGTCACATTCAATAAGTTTTCTTTCCAAAGACATAACGTTATTTAATAAACAGGTAATGTTATTGGGGCACAGTGACTCTTATGTAAGAGACAAACAAATGCAAGTGACCATTGCTTACAATCACTTTGGAGAAGGCCTCATCCAAAGAATGCCAAGGTACAATTTACTATTATTGATTATTATTTGTCGTTTATTCATTTAAAGTATCATAGTTTCCTGAAACGTGATGAGAGAAACAAGACAACGGACAGATATTGGGTTAACACACTCTAGCCTGCTAAACGACAATGTTTGGCTATTTAGAAGCAAGAGAACAATAAGAACAACTGAACCCCGTTTCCAATCTTACAAAATAGAATCAATTTCATCAATTATTCAGGTGCAGACACGGATACTTCCATGTGGTGAACAATGATTATACCCATTGGGAGATGTATGCCATCGGTGGAAGTGCAAACCCAACCATCAACAGCCAGGGTAACAGATATGCTGCCCCAACCAATCCTTTTGCAAAAGAGGTACTAAATTCCGTTAAGATTAGCTTAGACTTTTAAGTTGGATGGTAGTGTAATGTTATTTCTTCCTCAATTAATATCGATAGCTACTCGCTGAATATTGCGTTAATTTACAAGTTCATAAACAAAAGTCGAGAATCTTAGGCTCAGCTTTTCTCTTCTTTTTTTACTTCTTGTGCAGGTGACCAAGAGGGTTGAGACAGCTGAAACTGAGTGGAAAAGCTGGAATTGGAGATCAGAAGGAGACCTATTGTTGAATGGTGCGTTCTTCACTCCATCTGGTGCAGGGGCCTCAGCAAGCTACGCCAGAGCCTCAAGCTTGGGAGCTAAATCCTCATCCATGGTTGCTTCCATAACATCCAGCGCCGGAGCGCTTTCCTGCCGCCGCGGCCATCCCTGCTAGCGCTCCGGCCGCCGGTCACAGAACCTCCCTCTATTATTTTCCTGTGAATTTTTCAAATATTTACTTACAATAGCCTTACCCCAATATCCATATTCTATCAATTGATATCTCCTTCCAATCCTCTCTGTCTCTGCCACATCTGAAAACTAAGTGTACATTTTCTGTCGTCTCATCACAGAGACGTTTCCCATTGAACTCATCCCAGTTTCAGTTTGCTGTTTGTTGAGACTCTGAAATCAATGGCTCAACCTCGGCCTGCTTCATCTTTAAAAAAGCCACAATTGCCATTCAACAAGCAGGTGCGGAAGCGTTGTTCTTGTTCTTTTTATTACCTTCTCAGTTTCCTCCCACTTTTCTTCTTCTTCCTTCAACTATCATTGGTACTCTTTTATGTGTATTGTTCTGTCTTCTGGTTCTTGTTGGAGTGTTTTTGTTCTTTCTTTTTTTTTCACCCATTTTACACTTTTGTTCTGTCTAGTGATACAAGCTATAGTATGTTTGTCAAACATTGAATTATTGAAGCAAAAGTTTGCTCAAGATTATAGCAAATATTGTTGATATGCCCTTGTCCATCTTTCACCTACTTCTTCTCTTTTTTAATTATTCTTGGTTGAGAAGTGATGTGGTATAAATTCATTTGGTTGAGTTTTAAATACTCATGTATTTCCTTTTCACAAAAATCATAAATATAAAGAATTATGGATAGACAGATTAAATATGTTAGGCCCCATTTTGTGGCAATTTTGTTTTTAACTTTCTATCCATACATATAAAAATCAACCTTTTATTCTACTTTTTAAAATGATTTTGCAATCTTAACTAAATATCTACCACAAAAGAACTATGGGGAGAATAAAATTGTTTACAAGAAACCTACTTTTAACAAACAAAAGAATCTTCAAAAAGCTACTAAAGCTTTTATACAACAATATGTGCAAATTCTTACTCTCACACGCTCTGTAATTTGATAAGATTTGTGTCGAGATTTCAAATTCACAAATGAAAAAGAAGAGATTAAAGGGGAAAAGGAATTTATGAAGTAAAGTGATTAGAAGTAAATTATATTTTCTAAAACAAAAGGGACCAAGCCAATTAAATTGTGGAGAGTTCACTTTTTAGCAGTAAAAGGCAGGGCTTTTAAAACTTTTTGGTTGTGATTAATGGAGTTAGATTCTCAATAAGATTATGTTGTTTTGTTATTGCAATCACTTTCAATTAGGAGTGTGGCAGTTGATAATTCTTGCATGTGCCAACCCACATGCTACCAAGTCATCATCATTGCCCTTTTCCCTCTCCCTTTATGGCCTTCCCCTCCAAATAAAGCTTGGGATTTTGATACCCTTTTCAATTTTAAAGTGGTGGGAAAAATAACAGTTTGATTCCCACAAAGACAAAGACATGACCAGCTGTGAATTTGGATCAAAATTTCACTTGGGGTTTCATCCTTTCAAATAAATTTTTAGAGAATTTATACATTGGGTCAGTGAAGATTTGAACCTCCAACTTTTTGATCGAAAATATATACTTTTCCCAGTTGAACCATACTTAGATTAACATGTCGGGTTAATATTTAGTAGGAAGAACTTTAGACCTTCAATAAATTTGATTGTGAATCAATATAAGCACAAAGTTAAAAGGCATAGTAGTTATTGAAGGTACCTTTATGATAAACAAATGATGTTTGAACATTGAGATTTTTTTTTGGTCATGGTTCATTTTTCTCTACTACAAGGAAACTAAAATGATTTTGTTGGAGTGGTCAAATTAGAAGTCAAAGTCAACACCAAATAAATAAGCTATGCAAGGAAGAGTTCATGGTATAAAATTAACTCCATGCCCTTTGTTATAGGGCATCAAACATTTGACCATTTTTGGAGGATGATGAATTCTAATAAGAATAATCATTTTCATTACATTTAAAAAGCTTTGATTTTTCATTGACATATACCAAGATGGTTGACATGATCACAATCATCAATTTTCAACATTATAAGGGATATGAATGGTAATAAATAATATTTTATCCATTCAATAAATGAGTACAAAACATAACGAAAAGGACTATTTTATTTTTTAATCATGTCATCTAGAAAATATAAATCTACTTATCATTTTCAATTGTTACATAATTACTTACTTCTTAATTTTACCCACGAACAACATCAATTTACATTTTCACTCACATACTTACCTTCCTCTTTTCCACTATATCTTGTTCAAATACCTGGTAAATATTAAAAAAAAAAAAGAATAAATGCTATAACAAAAAAAATGAAAATGCGGTTCATTCAAGAATGTCAGCAATTTAATAACCAATTCTTTGATGAGAATCCAATTCGTCTTAAACGAAGAGGATGAAGCAAATGTTTTTAGGAAGTATTGCAAAGTGATATTATTCATTCCAAGAACTAAATTCAGTTGATGACTATTCTACCAATAAAGGAAGACATGTACACATTGGTAGGCTTATGCCCCACTTTACAACTGATAAGTGTGTTGAAAGAACACCATAGAATCAAACAAAGCAACCTTCCACCACCTTATACTCTGGTGCCTCGCCCTCGCCCCCACCACATGGTTTCCCGCTTCTTTATTGGGTTAAAATACTATTTTGGTCTCGATATTTTTAGTTTTGATTTATTTTAGTTTCTGTGCTTTCGAAATATTCATTTTGATCTCTATACTTTCAACATTAATTCATTTTAGTCCTTATACTTTCAAAATATTCATTTTGTTCCCTGTACTTTTAAAAATGATTATTTTAGTTCCTATTTTCAAAATTTTATACAAATTCTACACATAACGGAACTCATATTTAATATAAACTCATGGTTACGTTTCAATTAATAAATTAAGTGTAATGTTCGTGTTATTATTGTGATAGAAAAAATGAGATTAAAAATAAAATTAATGGGCCAAAGTGGTCACTTATAAAAAAATATAGGGACCAAGACGAACATTGGATCAAAATGAACATTTTAAAAGTATAGGGACCAAAATGAAACAAAGCTAAAGTATAGGAACTAAAACAGTATTTTAAAATTTTTATTTTTCAACCCAGGTAGAAATTCAAGTGTTTATACTTATGTTTCTATGCTCTTTGATTCATAGCATAGAAACCAAATTGAAATTAGACCTAAATAAGACTTTATTAAGATACACATGACAACTTTGAATAACTAAGACCTGTCAAAAATTGACATGAGAACACAAGACAACATAATAATAATACAACTATTTTTTTCACTTGGATAATTGGGGGGAAATTGATTCTAATGACAATTATGTCCTAGTCTTAACAGAAGGCATCAGGCAAATGGGGCCTCTCCAAATGAACAGATCAAGAAAGGATATCATAAGAACAGTGGAGAGTATTGATTTCCAGCGTTGGATGATGGAAAAACCAATGTGGAAGCATGTGGGTTGGGCCCAAAAGTTTTTCCCAAATGGATATGTACAAGGAGACAGAAGTAGAAGGATGAATTTTCACTTAGTTACAAATGCAAACTCCTCAGACATGCACTTTAAAGATGCTGAGTTGTTCTTCTCCCAATTCATTGCATTGAAAGCAATATACTCCATAACAATTATTGTTGTATTTCCTATTTCCTTCTTATCCATCTTCTAATCTAATCTTTCATTTCATGCATAAAGAACTGTAATTTATCACATATGACAAGGTGTGGTTTCTGAGTTTAAATTTTAGAAGAGCATTAAACCCAAAAACCCCACCATGGCAATATATCTTAAACTCCCAGAGACCAGTGTAGAAAACTCTAGATATCATTATCAGCACTTGCTGCAAAAGGCTTGTAAATAGTCTGTAATGGCAGGACAAGATAGAGACAACCTTTATTCTTGGCTCTGGTAGGTGTAATGAGCTTCAGCAAAGTGAGATTTCACCAGAGCAAGGGCTCGGTATCGATGAGATATCTTGTTCTTTTCTTCCTTGGGCATTTCAGCATACCTGAGAAAACAAATAACAATCATAAAAATTTATAACTTTTATGAATTAGTAGTAGTATGATTCTACAATGAGAGAAAAGAACAAGCTTACGTTTGATTGCAGCCATCCGGTTGAAAAATTGGATCCCAACCAAAATTATTAGGGCCCCTCGGAAGAACAATTTTTCCCTAATGTAACAAATCATGAGGACAAATTTTCAGTGCAACACAGAAGGAATCCAGAGAGCTCCTTTTCATACAGTATAATTTTGAGACGACAACAAAATTTTCTGAGATCAATAATGTGTAACAAACTAGACAAACATGTACAAGGAAAGAAATTGAAAAAGAAATAGCATTACCGTCCAAGCACTGATAATCCAGTACCCGTGATTATCTGTACCTTCCTGTGTTAGACAAAGGTATTCTGACTTGTTTATCACTGATTAGACAAAAAATTATGGGGTGCTCAACTGTTGATCATCATCAATAGAACTTTTGACTGGGAATCCACCCTTGGGATGGTCTTTGACACCGCTAACGTGACAGAATTTAAAGTGATTTCAATGTTTTTTTATGTTGCACTCAAACATCAAAATATTTCCTTCACAAGCCGCTCCGACAGTCGTTAACTTAAAGCAATCATACTGCAGGTTGCCTTAAGGCCAAATGACCAATAATCTTCGTCACTATACACAATCAACTTCAATTCTCTCTTGACCAAACTAATACCCAGCCACAAAGTAAAATGCACTATCTCATAATAGTTTCAAGTTTTCCAAGTGGGGAATGAACTCTCAACTTATATTTAACCAAAATAATAGCCTTGCCGACAGAAGTTCTGATATTTTAATTTCTCTGCCTCCTTCCTATGGGGACAAAAAAAAATAAAAATAAAGAATCATATTCCTCTTGCCATTTGCATTAACGGTTGTCTTCAGAAGGTTTTTTCTCTAGGAATTACCTCCAACAGTGAGAAACTAAGAGATCTTCTACAACTAACTTGAGCTTCAGTGAGGCCTATTGACTCATCTTGAGGAATGAGGATCCAACACTTATTCCCTTTCTGAGGTTCTCGTTTTGGCTATCCATATAATAAAACATCCATAAATTCAACCTCTTTTACCTCTTGCCACAACCTATTTAAATAACAACATATTAACAACATATTAACAACATATTAACAACAGAAAGGAGGATGTGTGGTAGGATTACTATTAGCATAAATGCTAGCAGTATTAATAGCATATTAACAACATATCAGTCATTGCTTGAGGAGTTTGTTAGATAAGTTTATCAGTGGAGTGGTTATACAAAAAGTCGATTAGATCTAAAGTAACTCACAAAACTACTCCCCAGAATCATTAAACTCGCTCAGCCGATAACTGGAGTTTAATAATCTACCATTAAGTGAGTGGGCAACCCTGTTCCTAAGGTTGACCCAATTGTATTTCAATGTTTTAGAGAAATATCAACCAGAAAAGGACATGGATGTCACGTTTTATGAACCAATAAAAGTGCCTCATGATCCTAGCAACAGAATCAATAAGTACATCTCCTAAGAACATCAAGCAATGTTTAACGCTCTTGCACCAACTTTTTTTTTATTAGTACTAAACTCTGGCTATTAGTTCTCACAAACTCTCAGTTTAAAAAATTAAATGAACTGTAAGTAATACTCAACACAAGAAACAAAAAACTATTACTATTTAACAGATGCACATTTGAAGTGCATATAAATTATGAAAAAAAAATAATGAAGCTGATAAATGTCGCGTCAAAGATTAAATTTAGAATAAAAATAACCAGACTTTAAATAAAGTTAGTTTGGATTGAGATAATTAAATAAAATTGCTGATTGGAGGAAACATTGCTGGGTAGTTAACTATACAATTCCGTACCGGAGTCTTTCCCAAAAATGTGATGGGTTCAGCTTCAGGCCCAAGAGAAAATGAAAAGATGCATAGAGCATATGCTGACTTGTCCTCATATGCCATCAACAAATTGTTCAGACCTAAAAAATGAGGAATATAAGCATTATGTCACAATGACTAGCATACTTCACTAACACTAAATGAATAGTGAAAGAAAATGATATAAAGGCTAGTATATGAGTACAACCTTCATGGCCAATCTTCTCCAAAAACCACTTGCTGCAAAATTAAAGACACCAGATGATTAAAAACGTAAAATATGCATCTTGGATAGATCTCGATGAATTTTGTTTAAAGTTTGGAGGTGGGCAAAAAGAAGTATAGCTAAATTTGAATAAATGCAAAACAGAGTATTGAGTAGTTAGGGGATCGATCAATTCAACTCAAGGTCCGGCGCTAATAGAAGTAACGGACTCTCCTAGTAGCGAAGGAAAAGGGCAGGGCTTAAGTTCTACTTCTCCTTCAAAGATGTGCCATCCCTGGACAGAGAAAGACCCCTTTCTCCCACAAGATGGATCCTTCAATTGAATTCTTCTATAACTTTATTAAACATGTATCTCAATGATATCTCATAGCTATGGTTCAATAGAAATGCAAATAATAGACAAAACTTCACCTCAGCAGGGGGATTGAAAATGTAGCAACTTACATGTATGGCCCTGAAACAGTGACAAATAACCATGTCAATGATCGACGTAAACACTCTTGGGGAGGGGGATTAGAGAAGATAGAAAACATTGAATACCTGGAAGACCTTTCAGAGCATTGAAGCAGAGGCACGTATCTTCCACCAAAACAGGCCCATTAACCTTCCAATTACCAAAACCGGCACCTCCAAATCAGTCAAAGAAAATAAACTATCTCTAATCTATTGATTCATCTGAAGTGATTCTTAATCGAATAACAAAAATATAGAAGAAAGTGCACCTGGATAGCAGCCAGCCGAGCCTTCTCCTTCGATATATCTTCTGGTTCGCCTTGCAACTCCGGCACTGTTCGTGGCAATCCATCAACCATAATCGAATATACAAAAGAACAAAAAATTAGGATTAAGTGAGAGTGAGAGAATTACAGTCAAGCTTGAGAGACCGGAAAGGAACGGAGCTGCCCAAGATTGCTCGAACTTCCTCGAGCTTCTTGGCGTTGCCGGTCACAAATGTCACCGGCCGGGGTAGCACCGATCCAATTCTTGAAGCAGCAACTGTTGCCATTTTCTCGATCACACGATTGGGTCGAGCTCCGAATACAATTTATTCAGTCTCGGCTAAACTCTCAAGGCGCCAATTCTTAAACCCTAATTTGAGATGAGTTTTTTTTTTTTTTTTCTCCCTTCCTTTTCCTTCCACGTATAGGTTTTTTTTAACGGTTTGAGCGGTTACGCCCGTTTTTTTCTTTTTTTAAAAAGTTGCCTTTGCATCTCTATTTAATAGATTAATAACTTTATACGATAAGTTTCTCAACGTACACACTCTTGGGAAGTTTCTTGATAGATTAAATAACAATTTCTCAAAAATAAATAAATAAATAACAACATTTTCTTTTCTCAGATTGGATAGGGAGGTTTGAAGTCAATTATCTAGAAAAAATAGTAGAGATCAATTATCTAATTATGTTCATGTCAAAATCACTCTCAAACACATCTTTTATTACATATTGATTTTGGTGGTAATTATTTATTTTTATTGAGTCTAATTCTCATCTAAATTTGTTTTTAATTCACCAAATTTATGTTATGTAGACTTATCATAAACTACATTTATCATCCACGTAAAATAATGGTATATTTAAAGTTAAATATATATATATATTTAATTATATTAAAATGTATGAGACAAAAAAGAAACATAAAAACTAAAGATGAATACATACAAACTTAAAAGATGTTAATAGCCCAAACAAAGTTGAATATTAAAGGTTAAATTATAAATTTGATCCTAGAAAAGCAGGGTATTCTTCTCTGAAAGGCTTTAATAAGATCTCCAAATTTAATGTCCAATAAAGAAAAATATTTGACCCCTCACCAATAAAAACTAATATTGTCTTTGTCACCATTAAATGTTTGACAATCGAGAGATACATACAAAAATATAGKTTTTTTTTAATAATACGTTGTCAATTTTTTAATGGTGGTGATGAATGATGATAATATTCGGTCTTCACCGATAAGGATGTTCATTTTGCCTCTGTGCCCCGTCCCCTAGGGGACTTGCCTAAATGGGGTTGGGGTTGGGATGGGGAAAAAAATTTCCCCACCACCTATATATGGAAAGGGGGCGTCGTTCCTGTCACCCGCCTTGCGTCATTTTTTTTAATATATACACACTTTAAAATAATTACATTATTTTTTAGGTATACATGTATTACAAGATATTATTCTCTGTCCATCCACTTAATATATATATATTTGAGATAATTAGACCTTAGAAATTAAGCAATTAAGTAAAAATTTCAAAAACAAGAAAAGATATCGTGAAAATTCTCCGTGGGATAAACCCAATCTCCACCGCCCCACCCATGAACCTTTTGAGTACTCTAATATGATACGTTTAAAACTTGTTAGCTACTTATCCTTGAACAATTTAGTAAGAGATACCTACTTAAATGATTAAACAGCACATTTGAAAGTAATTTAAAAAAAAATTAAAACCCAACCCATGAAATTTAAAAGCTGAGATTTATAAATAATAATATAAAAGAATATTAAACTGACGTGGGATCCGCACCCGATTGTGAACCGACCCTGTGGGTATAGATCGGGTAACCCGAGAAGAAGGCATTGGCTGTGGATGCGGCGAATTCCGGGCATGCAAAGGAAAGGAATCGAYATGCCAATTCTCCAGTGAGTGGAGGCTCCATAAATTTTCTCTTCTTTTGATTCCAACTAACCCTCTGAATCGTCAGACCAGAAAATTGAAGAAATTTGCGTTTCCCAGACGACGATGATCGCGCAGTCCTGTGCCCTAAATTCAATTCAATTCAATTCAATTACACCTTCAACTGTAATTCCCAGGGCCTCCCTCCCTATATATAATCCCCCTCCCCCGCTCCATGCAACACACATCTCAGAGAGAAATAATAGCAATTGATGGAGATGTTCAAGCTGTGTGTAATGCTCCTGTTGGCAGCCGTTGCGGCGGTGGCCACGGCGGCTCGCCAGGTTCCCGGTGGTGGCCAGATGGAGCTCGTCGATGCCGTTGAAGTGAAGGCGGCGGAGTTACCGGCGGATATTGGGGATGCTGTTCGTGACCAGAAGAATTTTCTCTACGGCGGAGTTGGCGGCTTCGCTGGCATGGGCGGGTACTCTTAAATCTTTAATTAACTAAACTAACTATCATTAAATCTAAAATTAATTTTTGGGTTACGAGTTTTTAAGATTAAGAAAATGAAGCCTATAAACGCGTTTCAATCTTTTGTTATCTAATTTTTGTTTATTATTTCAAAATTTAAGTTAAATTTTAAATACTAAAAACGTGTAATTTTTTAAACTTAGTTAAATTTAACAGTAAATTTAATATAAAAATACTTAACTTAGAATTTATCCTTCTCGTACAGGCAAGAGAGAAATGTAGAAACGGAAAATTCTTTTAATGATTATTATTAAAGTAATGGTACTCGAATATAAGAGGCATACTTCTGAATAGGTAGAAGGTTGAATGTTTTACCCACGTACAAAATAACAAACATTAGGTTTTTTAGATTTTTCAGTGATTCATTTAATGATAAACCACTACCTACACGGTTTAAATAGTGGAAGATCTAATATTTAACTGTCACCTAGAGATGATGGGTGGTGAGGTGTAAAATACTAAATATTTTCCAATTTAGTATTTCATTTGTATTTTAATAGCTGATTAGTGGAGTGATTGGTAAAATACTAAATATTTTTCAATTTAATATTTTATTTGTATTTTAATAGGTACGCGGGAATGGGCGTAATGCCGGGGCTTGGTGGTGGTGTCGGGATCGGAAAATTTGGCGGAATTGGTGGTGCCGCTGGGTTCGGAAAATTTGGCGGAATTGGCTTGGGTGGCCCCGGCGGAGGAGCTGGTCTTCCCGGTGGCGGTGGCCTCGGCGGCATAGGTGGCGGAGGAGCTGCTCCTCCTGCTGGAGGAGTTGGCGGCGGAATAGGCGGTCTAGCTGGGCACGGGCTTGGCGGACTAGCTGGGCACGGGCTAGGCGGACTAGCCGGGCATGGGCTTGGTGGAGCTGGTGGAATAGGCGGCCTGGCTGGGCACGGGCTCGGCGGCCTACCTGGGCACGGGATTGGCGATGCTGGTGGTATTGGAGGCAACAGTCCTCCCGGTGGTGTTGGCGGTGGATACGGCGGAGTTGGCGGCGGTCCGGGTGGCGTTGTTCCCCCATAAGTCGTAAAATTGTGTTGCTATATTTCCATGATCAGTGTTTTGTGATAAAATATTAGTGCCGTGTGATTGGGTGTTGTATTGTAGCTGTAGTGATTCGATGGCTGTGTTTTATTTTTGTAGYGATTCGGTGGTGGCTTTGTGTTCAAACTTATGCATGCATGCACATGCACGTACTATTTCTCAGTCTTCAATCAAATAACTATTCGTCATCTATTATTCCAGAAAATGTCTATGTGAACATATATATAGTTTTAACCACTTAATAATATAAACTTATTAATTAGTTGTATGTATTATTATCTTTTTATACAACAAAAAAAAAGTTATTTTCAATAAAATGTGGGGAAATTTCAAATATATATACTTTTTTAAGTTTGAGAGTTTAATTTTTACCGTTGAAAATTTAGAGCTTGTAGTTTTTTGGTATTTTACAATTGAAAATTTACCCTAGCAGTAATAACAACTATCATAAGGTGATTTGTGCAATTTATACATGTTTTATAGATTAACTGGAATTTATAGTTAAAAAAATAATAATAATAATAAACGGAATTTTTTTTACTAGTAAAAGATGGAATAGTTTGACGAGAGGTGAGGGTTCAATCAGTGTATTAAATGATGTCGTTTCAAGAAGAAAAAAGGTGTATTAAATGATGATACAGTTAATGTTGATATATATATGAGAGAGTTTTGCATGGCTACCACTTGTAAGAACTAAGACGTGTCCTTCTTCATCAAATTCAGTCAATCAAAACCCTGCATGTCTCCAACGCTGACATTAATCCCTTCCCCAAGAGATGCGAACAAAGAAAAAAAAAAGTCATTTCGTTACAAATAAATTGTTGGAACAAACTGCTGGTTGGATATGAGAGGAAGTTAGAATACGTATTTTAAATTTGTATTTGACAGTTATTAAAAGCATATAAAATTCTAAAACTACCTCTAATAATGGTTATTAGAAAGTATTATTAGGAGCATATGAATGTTGAAATTACATCCAACAAATTATTAGGAGTGAACTATGGGAAAAATAATGCCAAATGTCTTAAAAATTTTATTTTTTAAGTATTGAAATGGAGATTTGAAATCAGGATCGTTTGGTCGTACATTCATACTTTATCTTATTGAACTACGTTTCAGTTGACAAATATATTAGAACTTATATAAGTAAATGTGCTGAAATTTAACACTGCATGCGGGTGGTGGTGTAGTGGGCTGACAGTCAAATGTGATTAGTACTCCCTCCATGATTCGAGCCTTGCTGTAGGCCAAGTTCATATATGAGATTTGTATTTATAACCTCTTTGATAGAGATAAATTATCGTTGAACCTTATGACCGAGCCAAATGGTAGAATAGAATATCCAAGTGAATTCAATTCCACAATTGTGGTGGGCATATTCAATATTTCTTCTTCATTAAACAATCTCAAAGATTGGGAGACGATCGAGCAGGATCAGAGGATGAAAAAGGCAGTGCATGGGAAGGGATTTGCGTGTTGTTTCCGATGGGCAAAAGGCCGCCACGTCGGCAGCCTAATTAAAACACGTCCAAAGCCTCCATGGCGAGCTGCGGCCTCAACAAATGCCACACGCCAAAAAAATAAAGCCTCCAAATTGGCAAATTCTCTCTATAAAATAATGAAATCTCCATTTCAAAACAATCAAACGCATTATTATCCCCATGGCTCGACCGGAGCATTTTGTCTGCTTCTGTCTCTTGATCTTGATAAGCACCGGTACCAGCCTCGGCCTGCAGCAGCCCAAAGCCGGCGGCGGCGGATCCGTAACTATTAATGGAGGAGGAGGAGGCGGCGGCGGCGGGGGAGGGAGTGGAAGTGGGTCGAGCAGTGGTACGGGTTCGGGTTCTGGGTCGGGATCTGGATCGGGTAGTGGTGGTGGGTGGGGTCCCAGCGGACGCGGAGGATGAAGTATGAACGACAGGAAGACTACTAGTCTGCGGAGCTCCCCCACTCACTCAATGAAAAATCGACTTGTCGTCTCGTCTCCATATAATTGGTGTCGTTGTCGTTGGTATTGTATGTGTCAACAAAATAAAGAGCGTCGGAGTCTTTCTAATGTATGCACTGTAATTGTATATATTAATGAATAAAACTAAATAACCTCTCTCCACCGATATAACTTATGCTTATATTTTACACATCTTTCAAGAGGCGAGAGAATTAGTGTCGAGGATCCCACGTGAAAATATCAAATGATATGGACTTAAAATCTTTATAAAATATGTGGACTACTCTACTGGAGTAGCCTTTGGTCGGGTCTGTTGGTGTACGTGCCAACATTTTCTTCTTCGTTAAGAAGATGTATACTATCCGTTTTATTTCATATTGATTTGAGAAAAAAAAAAACTCTATAAATGTATACTATCCGTTTTATTTCATATTGATTTTGAGAAAAAAAAAACTCTATAAATATATGATATTAACAAAGCTGGTAGCTCATGAGAAAGTGAATAATATTGTATTTTTGAGATGTAACCATAAATAATTAGGAGAATATACTCGTGCAATTATTCAAAGGAATATTGTGGCTATCATATTTTTCAAATTTAGTGAAACTACATCTAACGGTTTTTGGAGCAAAAAAGTTTCTAAACTACATCAAAACTTTTATTTTAGGAGACAAACCAGCACTAGAGGAAATTAAAAAAAAGAAAGGTTTAGAACTCGTTGAAATTCATAGGCTATTTGGACTAACAAAATTCTGATTCTTGATTTATTGATTTTAAGAAAATAGATAAGTTAATTTATCTCTTTTAGTCCTCATGATGGTGATCAGGACCGAGGAGACCCCAAGTTTTATCCTTAATTTTATTTAATTTTTATGATAGCTCCCTCCCTTAAAAAGACAAAAGTATATTTTTGTCCTTTAAATTTGAAGGTAAACTTCCATCATTTGGTATCCGAAAAAATTAATTATTAACCAAAATGTATTTTATTATTTATCGTTTTTATAGGAAATTGCCTTTTTTTAGTTTTAAAGTTTTCAATAGTTTATAAAGTATTTTTTTTAGTACACGTACGAAGCTGTGTGGAAATTCAAACTTGCTCAAACTCATCATCTTTTAATCAAATACCTAATTTATAACTGAGCTAAAATAATCATAAATTTAACTTTTGATATCATTGTTTATTAACTAAATATTGAAAAATAACATATCACATCTCTTCACCACTATCAAATCTTCGATAATAAAGTAAAAATAGAAGAAGAATGAGCTGTGAATTTTCAACTTCAGTCAAAATAAAGACAGAGATGGATCATGATTAGCTAAGTATTTTCATCAAATTGATGCTTTGGCCACTCCAAGTATTGAATTAATTCCGGATCCGCAATGGTAACAGCAATTGAAATTGAGTGAGGAGCAAGAAGAGAGAGATGGAAACCCAGTTGCATGCGGATGGAATTATCCAATTTTCTGTGCATGTTGACGGGAAGGCCATTTGCGTTGCGTGTTGCGTCCGATCGGCCAAAAGGCCGCCACCTTGGTAGCTTAATTAAACGTCGGCAGCCTCCTTGGCAAGCCGCGAGCTCACCAAATGCCACACACCAAAAACCCCCACCTCCAAATTCTCCCTATAAATAACCCAAATCTCCAATTCAACTTAATATATATCATCAAAACACATCCCCATGGCTCGACCGGAGCTTTTCGTTTGCCTCTTTCTCTTGATCCTTGTAAGCACCAGCCTTGCGCAGCCCAACGCCGGCGGCGGCGGCGGAGGAGGAGGAGGTGGAGGCACGGCCGCGGGAGCGTACGGGTCTGGATTCGGATCCGGCGGGGGATCCGGGGGTGGGTATGGAACTATTAATGGAGGAGGAGGAGGAGGCGGCGGCGGGGGAGGAGGTGGAGGTGGGTCGAGCAGTGGTTCGGGTTCGGCTTCTGGCTCGGGGTCTGGATCGGGGAGTGGCGGTGGGTGGGGTTCCAGCGGAGAATCTCGCCAGGCCATGGGCTTTAACGGCTCTCCATGAACGAGCCTTTGGTTGGTTTCGTAGTTTAGATTGGAAGTCGACTTGTCGGTCTCCGTCTTGGTGTCGTACTCGTTGTATTTTTGTGTGTGTCGACAATAAACAGCGTTTGATGGAGTCTTTGTAATCGTAGATTTCGGGCAGTGGAACTCCTGCTGCCCGGACACGTGTTCCGATGCTTTAACCTGTGTTTATTTCTAAATCTTTTGTTATTTTACTGATCTTGTTTGTTTTTTTATTACTTAGCAAGATTGTGGTTTAATTTACTTCCTAAATATTTTTTTTTTGTGAGAAACTTCCAAACTATTTAAAAATGTTTGTTTGTTTGTCTTTTTTTGGAGCGAAAAACGGTTTAAAAATGTTACATAATGTTGAATCCCCGCCCATAACACTATATATTATTTTTCAAATTTCAAATTGTTTTAAATAACCATATAAAAGACACATATTCTGCGTCACGGCTGTAAGAGAGAGAAATATCGTATCGTATGGGCTTTTTGGGCGGCCCATATGAAAGACACAAAAATTTGGGGTGAAAATGAAAATAGAAAAGTTGGAACGGTCATATAAAATGAACCCACTGGCTTCTTTTTCCTGGATCCTAAAGGCGGGAAATCTTCAAATACATCAGCGGGGTGAATAGCGCGCGTGAAAAAGAGCGAGAGGTGCGATGGAGGGAAGGAGGTCAAGCGGCGATTTGCAGAGCATTCTCGATGCTATTTCGTCTTCAGATGTAAGCGTTATTTGATACACTACATCTCACTTCGTTAATTACATTTCCTCTGGCTCTCATTTTGGAGTTTCTTTCTTCTGGTGTTCGAAACACGAATTTGAGTTGAATTCTATTATGTTCGTTAGGTTTCGGTTGCGATTATGCTTCGATTGCTTGTCACAACTTACGAATCGTAGTTGAGTCCTCCAGAATTGTAGATATCTAGAATTAATAAGACATTTGCAATAGTTTCTTAATTTTCTGTACGAATTTTTTAGTATATTGAGTATTTTTGAATTTCTGCTATCTTATTTCTGAGAATCGGAGATACTTCCTTCCAGTGGCTTATTGTTATGCAAATATATTTTACAGGTCGTTGAGAGTCGTATTCAGCTGCTCATTAAGCTGGAGGATTTGGATTTATCAAGTAAATCAGACTTGATTTCGTTAGCCGAAGGCCTTACAGTATCCGCTCTGCGATTCGTTTCATTTTAAATTCTTTTTCGCCTGCGATTCTCGCTGTCGCGTATTTTTGACGGCGTGTGAATGCGAAGTAGCGAAATTACCTTTCAGTCTTGAACGTAATTAGCAGCAAATTAAAGTCTGACGCAATTTTTTAAAAATCCGTTTATGCTTAATTTGATTATTTACTTCTAATTAGAGAAGACAGTTTATTGAAGAAAACCATTATATATTCTTCTTCTAAGTACATGTTTGTATACCTTGACGTAGAGCTTGATATTTTGGGAAGATTTCACCTGTTTGGATGTGACGCAATGCTTATTAAACAGAACGATTTTACTTGTGGCCATAAAACGTTTGGAGAAAGACACAGCTGGTTCTCTTGCACAGTTTCTCAGACTCGGAGTTAAGGTCAACATTTGTTTTTCTGTACACGGTTCATTTTTCTCACTGTATGCAAGTTTATATAGGAATCAGCAACCTTCTAAGATACTTAAATTCATGTGTTTTTCTTTAGGCAAGTATCTGGTGTGGAAAGCATCTAAAGATGACACTTATGTCAATCCAGGAGTCACAGGAAGAAGAGCACTCCAACCTGTTTTTTCAGGTGGTAAATGTTAGTTAATGTACATCTTATCTTATGCTCGTGCAGTTGACTTGAAGTGCAACTTGAAGTGTGTATTTATATTGTAGTTTCCTAATCAATGCTCTTTGATCGACTTAAATGTAAGTTTATTATCATGATATTTTATTTAATCAGGGATTTTTAAAAAAATCATGTAGTTTTAAAAGTATGGATAAATATACGGTACTTCTAATCCATGTTGAGATTGACTAGCTATCTTGATAATGCCAAGGTTATATTTCAATTTTTGGACCATTAGAATATGAAGTTTCCTATAMTATCACACAAAGGACTCACATAAGCTATCATTGAGACCAATACGTTCTCTCATTAATGCTTTGTGCCAATGCTCCAACCCTCTACCTGTCTTCTTGTGGTTGGGTTGCTTATTTGCTGTTTCTACCTTTCCAATTTGTGTTGGCAGAAGCATAAATTGCGTTTTCTTTTTGGTACATTGTTTCTTAGGATTGTAAATTGTGTTTTTAGTTACATTGTTTCAAATTACTCCCTAGCAGGTTTGTTTCTTGGACTGATTAGATTTCTTTGTGCAGCTTCTTTTAGATGCGTTGAAATTTTCTGCTGCCAGTTTTTCAGCTTTGGCAAGATATCCTCTTTTTGAAGATAAGATGTTGATGAGTACGGTTGAGAATTTCACCTTGGAACAGTTGAATTTAATGAATGAATCAGTATCAGAAATTCAGGTACCATTAGCTTGCAGAATGTATTGATTGTTGTCAAGAAGCTGAATGGTTAGCTCTCCCAGATCTTTATTTTCTTTTCCTTTATTGATGAAGTCACCAAATCAAATAGAGGCTAGTGACCTCAATACTACAGCTTAGATAAATAATAAATAATAAAACGGAGAAAAAAGCTAAATCTGTTATTAAGTCACCTTATCTTGCGTCGAAATCTATGACAAGGAGTAACCCTTCTAGGATTCTCTGTTCATTTATTTTCTCTGTAATTCTTTTAATCTCTAATCAGATTTGGTATTATGAAAATGGATACACTGAATGAAGAAGAGGTCAAATGGTCTCCCTTACTATTATTAGTAACTAGTAAGGCCGTAAAAATGTTTTGTGTTATACACTAGAAAAAGAGTATTAACAAGAACAGGTAATAATTTACATAATTTTTTGACCATAAATTGCAAAGCAAGAAAAAAAGAGTTAGCATCAGATTAACTTTCATGGTTCTCTTATATATTCAAGCTGTAGTATTGAGCTTACTGGCCTTTAGTTTGATTAGGTGACTCTATCAAAGCAGTTTGGAGAGTTATGTGCAATACTTTTCTTGCCAAACATAGGAATTACCTCTTCTCGGATAATGACAACAAATGAATTGACCTCCGGTCCTCCATAGTACAATTATGTCCTTGGTTTAATTTGTGAAACTAGACCTGGACGAAGTTTTAAGTGTTAGCTCTCTTAACAGTTCTATGATTTCATATCTTGCTTTGCTTGTTTTTCTAGTTTTATGTATATTAAATGAAACGGTCAAACGTTTGAAATTTTGCATAGTTGCATGTAGCCCCTTATTCATGAAAATCATGATATTGTTTATCGAGAAATACTTTCCTTGAGTAATGCAAAATTTACAAGTTTAACCTTTCCCACCAGTCTTTCTCATGCATCTTAAATTCCCGCGTCTATAACCTCTTTCCGATTGTATTCTAGCTCGAATCAGGTGTGATCCTTGTTGGTAAATTATTTGTTATTTGTCCCTTTCTTATTTATATAGGTCAAGTATGTTAATTGATTATTTAATTTTAGCTTAAAAGATGTTTAGTTACTTGTCCCTCAGCTGACATCATGGCTACTTTGTTTCTCTAAGTAGAGGATTCAAGAATTTGGCTCAGAAATATTGAAAGCTGTGCAGATGATCATTGATGCAATGATAAAATTTTGTGAAGTTCACTCCCAAGCTCTAGATGGGGAGTTCTCTGATGAAAATTCTGATAAAACCAGCAGTGCTGCAAACCATGCCATCAACGTACACAAGTGTATAATCGAGAAGTTATGTGAATTGGGCACCATTGCAGCCAAAGGTGGTGGAGGATTGGTTACCATTCTTAACGTGTCATGGAAAGGAGTGTTTACCTTGCTTCAACATGGAAACGTGGTATTATTATCAAAAGTGAACATAGCAGGCACTATTCTGATTCTAGTTTCGCTTGTCATTGAGCCTCTGAAATGTGCAGCAGCGACTTGGTCTTCTGTAACGAAAGAAGCTGTCTCTGCAGCTGAAGCCAGACGAATATTTCTTCCAGTTAAATTTTTCCTGATTAATGCTGTGAAAATATCGTGCCTGTGTCCTTGCCAAGCATATCTAGTACATAAGGAGATCATTCTCTGTGTTCTAACAATCTTCACATATAAGTTTTCACTAAGCAGTGAAAAGTTACTGGAAACTGTAGCTGAAGCAATCACTGAACTTTTGGAGCCAACGTGCTTGGATTTAGTCAAGTGTATAGTAAATTCCACTGATCTAAAACAAGACCTGAAACTTGAGATTATGGGCTTGTTATTCACTACTGAAAGGTGTTCTTTTCCAGATGGAGATCCTAGTGCTTGTTTTAGGATTGATCCAATGAATGGAATGTTTTCCATTAATTGTGAAGGCATGAATAATGGGAAAACCTTATTGCTTGGCCGCATTAATCTTCTACTTAATTTGCTGAGGTATTCTTTTGATCTCAGTGATGATGCAAAACTACTGATCACCACAAAACTCAGTTGGCTTTTGGACAATCTAGTTCAAGAAGATGTATATGCATCTGTTCTTCTCCTGCAAGTTCCTTTCTTATATTTATCTGGAAAAACTACAGAGCTAAAATGGCAGCCTCTGTTCTCTTCTCTTTTGCATGCATTGAAGACTTTCATGGTTGCAGTCTCTTCAAGTTATGCTTGGGTGGAACTGCAATCCTTCTTACTTGAAAATCTCTTGCATCCTCATTTTCTTTGCTGGGACATTGTTATGGAACTTTGGTGCTTTATGTTGCGGTATGCTGATAATGGCCTGGTGAATGGTGTCATCTCTAACCTTTTATCAGTAATGAAGTCATTAGAATCCTCGGAGCCAGTTCTTGTTTACAGTTCTGCTTTGAGAAAAATGGCAAGGTCTATAAACATGATGCTTACATATGGTGCACATTCTAAACTAAATGAGATTTGTGAGGCTATTTTTATTCAGGACAAATCTCGGTTATCTACAGTGATATTGGTCGCCTTGATCTTGGAAGGCTTTCCCCTAAACTTACTCTCCGAGAAGATTAAACATATTGCTATTCAGGGTATGGTTCATGATTATTTGAGCTTCATCGGGAATTTTGATGAGACTTCAATGTTAACTTCCTCTTCTGGGGTTATTGGGTTGCCAGTATTTTCTGCATCTGCTACAATACAGTCCATGTAGGTATTCGTATTTCACCTTGTTAAGGATAATATTTTTTCCAACCCTCCACACTCCTGAAAGTCCCTCGAGACTCAACTTTCCACAATTGTAGGTAGTTTTGTTTTTTTAGAACTTCAACTAGCGACCATGTGACTAGTTTTCCTTTTGTTTCTATTTACAAGTGAAGTTGATGTTATATCTTTTTCAGAGTTTCTTCACATAGTGCTCTAATATGAAGCTTTAGTTCAATGTTTCAGTCTCATTTATAATTGTCTAATTTGGATATCACAATGTCCTATAGGAAGTTAAGCACCTCTGATATTGATGTGAGAACGTTAAAGTTCTTACTTGCTCTTCTCCGTGGCTACAAAATTTCTGGAGTCGGAGAAGTAAAGGGATTCTGTAGAAAACTAATATCTGAAACGTTGGGGATCATCTCGTGCATGAAACACCTTTATGCATCTAATGAGATGGAGGAAGTCATCTTGGAGCTTGAAAAGCTTTTTATCTCAGGACCAACAGCCTCAGATCCTCTGTTATATGAATGCAAATCAGGTTTGGCTCCTTTCTTGGCAGGGCTTGCGCACATTAAAATGACAGAAACTGATGATAATGCCAAAAGCTGCGCTGTGTGGGAGCTATATCATATGTTATTTAAGGAGCGGCACTGGGCACTCATACATTTGGGGCTAACAGCTTTTGGATATTTTGCTGCACGTACTTCTTGCGATGAGCTGTGGAGGTTTGTGCCACAAAATGCAGCTCTTTCGTACGATTTAGAATCAGGAAAACAGGTAAATGAAGAGGGGTTTATGTTAGAGTTTAAGATATTTCTTGAGAAGGAAATGGCTCTCCTCACAGTAACAACGAGTGGTGACCAGCTAGCACTGCTTATGAAAGAAGGACTAATGTTAAAGGATGTTCTCAATAAGATATTAAAATCATGTGAAAAGGGTATTGAATGTAAGAGCATGGACACTGATGAAGGACCATCTAGCAGGAAGAGAAAGCTTCCTGAAGGAATCAGCAAGGGAATGGATTTGCTAAAGAATGGGTTAAAGGTTATGCGCCAGGGTCTCTCACTGTTGGAAGGAAGTCATGTCGATTCCAGAGAACTTCATAACAAACTTTTCAGTCACTTCTTTGGCCTTGAAGATGAAATAGCTCGCCTTGGCAACCAAGGTGGGGGTGATTAAGTCAAATCTCAATTTCAAAGGTACACAATTTTTTTGATAATCGCTTACATGCGAATGAATAGAACTGTTCATAGCTGTCAGCACACTTATAAATAAAAATATTATCTGTCAGTACTACTACGTTGCTAATACCTTCGTGCACTTTTGCTGTTGTGATTACGAATTGTTTTTTTTCTCTCTCTTCTAATGAGGTGGAGGAATATTCTTAAACATGGTTGTGTAATCGTTGCTTCAAGTAAATGGAGAAATTTAAATTCTATTTTCAAATTGTTAATGCTTTCTTTTTCTCCTTTCGGTTCCAGACCGAAAAGTCCAACACTATAGCCCATGGATCAGTGATGTATGGTTCAGTCCGTACCATCGTTCTGTTGCAGAAGTAACCGAAGGCCAGATTCCATAGTGGAACCACACGTGCCATTCAGTCTTGACCAAATGAACTATATTGATTCGAGCTTCAGTGGTGAGGTCGAGAGTAGTCCGCTTCAGCTTTCTTTGGTGCCAAGACATTGGGAAGGTTTTTCGCTGCTCAACTCGGTAATCTTCTCTCCAAAAGTTGTAAGGTTCGTTCATTATTCATGTTGGTTACAACTCATTTCTCTTTTAAGATTACTCGAATATCTAATAAGTTAAAAATTTCTGTGATTGAAACCATTGATGGCATTTAGCTTTAACACGAGTCTACTGTTGCAAAGCTCGAGTGAAAGTAGAAACGAATTATCTTTCTCGAACGTATTGCATTGCAAGTAAACAGAAATTGAGGCGTCAATTTAGTATAATGGTAAGGCGACTGATATTATTCCAATATGAGAGAATTAGAAATGTCATTTTATACCCTAGTATTATTGGTCACGTTTGCAATATTAAACGACTAATTATGACAGGATAGGACCGTGACAGACACCATTTTTTTCGTAGAGTGGATAAGGCACTATATCTTTTCTTTTCTTTTCTGGGGTCTAATATCAGATCCTCTCTTCCCCTAATTTTTTGTTAAGTAGGGTGAAGATTTGAGTTTATCTCTGTGTGCGCCAAAAGTTGATCGAGATTAATTATACCGTAGTGGTTGATATTGATGCTCACGATAGTGATAGGGTGTGGAAGAATGAATTTGAGAGATCTAATTGGTACTCCTATGAAGCCAAACCTTGTTTGGGAAAGGGTGTAGAGGTCAGTTTTTTATTGCCAAACTCTAAAAATGGTAAAAGTAGCGTTTTATGAAATGTGACCAGTAACAATAGTTTACCTGAATACCGGTTTGTATTTTTAGAATAAAGTAATTTTGACTTTGCCTTTCACTTTGACCACAGCTTTCAAACATGAAAAATGTCACCGGAGCTCATGAAGATTTTTTGGAGCCAGTTTCAGTGGACCTAAACAGTACAGGTATTCTGAAATTGTTGGGTTATTATATTCGAAGTATAAGTATAGTTAATCGACAATCGTATAGAATATTTTGTATTCCTCTTGTTGAATCCAAGGCCAGTACTTGAATAATATCCTCATGCAGGAACTAAGATAAAATGAAC